AGAATAGACGATTTTAGAATCAATTAAATGCCTAACGAAGCTCGGTCGTCCACGTACTAATGTCTAGACATATTGACGTATTAGCAATATGCATTTGGAGCAAGATATCCTTCAATTATTTACACAGTCGTTGTAATTCATTTTTATATTTGACCTACTTTAAATGTAAATAAAAATTATATACATTTCATATGCATAGGTAACAATAATTTCTTTTTCACCTGTATATAATAATAATAATACAATTCTTTACAATTCACACAGTGCTATCTAGTCTCAAGGCAAGTAAAGATTATGGTCTGAGTACTAGACATGTAATAGAAAATACCTAAATACTCTTTTGTAAGTACATACATAATATACATAGAAAATATATACAGCAATCCAAACATTCATATTCTTGATTATATATATTTGTATTGTGCGATGAAACGAATCCGCTACCATCGGAAGTAAAGCGATCTACTAAGTTGCATAGGTCACCATCATCATCTACTTCTTCCTTATCCCGTTTATTTGGGGTCGGCGTAATATGTTATTCTCTTCCATTCATCTCTGTTGGCAGTCATCTCGTTATTTCTTTTTCACCATATTATCTTTCACACAGCCCATCCATCTCTTAAAACTGCATAGGTCACTGAGGTATAAATAAGGTTTCGTACCTCAAAGATATATTTAAACGGAAATGACGCACGTACTAAGTCAATTCGGCCTTATACATTCATTAAGTATTTTACTATTGAAGATTTCTAAAATATGTAGATTACTTACTGGTGTGTATGAAATGTGATATTATAAATAATATAAATGATTAGATGATCCTTTTTTCTCACGGTCTGTTACAATTTCCATTACTAAAAAGCGTTCTATTTTGTTTATTAGTATCAGTAATATTATGAATGTTGTAGGTATGAGGCAGTAGCGGAAAATAGTACAGCCAACTCATTGTCTACATTACACAAACTTTGATATCAAATATTAATATTTATCATGAGCAATTACGAAGCGTAACTGACAATGTTTAATATTTCTGCAGTACACATTTCATGGATAATCTGTGTATTATATGCACAACATGACATAATGTAACATATTACATATTATGTCACTATAGAATTAACAAAGATATACCTAAATAAAGATACGAATAGTTCCACTGGAAAATATTAATTAAAATTAATTCGTAAGTGTTACACTGTAGATACATTTATACAGTACATTACCATAATAATGACTGCGTACTATTCAGCTCAAATTAAGTATAACTACTTGTATGAATAAATTAATATTATATCACTATAATAACATTCTGTAATTGATTTTAAACCTATATAAACGAATTAACGAAAAATGGCTATGTAGTTAATTTAAAGAAGCGAATGAATCCTTTACTCTTTAAACTATGTTTTCTATTGGTTTCTGGTATAACATAGAGTTAATAAATAAATATAATGCATGCATGTATGAACAAAATGTAACAACCTACTATGAAATAAATGCTATGATAGCAGGCCTAGATTTAAGGAATTGTCGTCTGTGTCAAGGCTACACTACGAGAAGCATGGAGATTTTATCTGCTTGCCAAGAAACACAGATAAAAATAACATTTACTAATTCTTATATCCTTAGTAATAAAGCTCAAAATAGTGAAACATTTACGAATATAGTACAAATTATTTCATTGAGCAAACATCACAATTTACAATGGTGATATTTTATGACAGGTCCGCAGACGGAGAGTTTATTTGTTATTAACTGGGAAATAACTTTTACCTAGATAACAAAGCAGAAGATGAAGGTAATGACAGCTGACTACAATGTATTAAAAGTGTACTAGACTATGTAGTTATTCAAGGATTTATGAAACTGAACGACTCATCTAAATTCAGGGTAAAATATACTCTATTGTAAAATATAATAACGATAACAATTGTATATGCAATTTATTATTATTAAATGACTAATAAAAATGGAAATCAAATCACCATCAGTGAGTAAAATATCCAAAAGATTCTCAGCGTTTACTTGTAATCATACTGATACTCTTACATAGAAAACAAAGTTTTAAATTTATGAACACTATTATTAATTTTTTTAATTCGGTTCAAATCAAAATCTATGTTGAATAATGCGTTACATCATGGATTAGATATGTTTCCTAAACAACAAATTCTTAGTGACTCACTCAGAAAAACAGATGTTCATGACTATACTCGTAAAAGATTCATTAAATCATAACCAAGCCTAATTATTAACTAACATTGAAAACAGTTACGTAATTCAGAAGTGAAAATTACCTATTTAGAAAAATAATTCGCTTTAAATATTTCCTTTGACAGTAATCTTGTTTCTATTTAATTATACATCTGCCAGCGTTAAAGGTATGGTAACGTACGCAGGCGGGGTACTAGTGAAACAATTTTAAAGTCAGCTTAGTTACCCCATGGTAGCAGATTTGTGTGGAGTTAACCACTATAGTTTTTTTTTCAGAGTATCGGGATGTACTCAATAAAAAAAATACAGTTTCTATAATGCGTGTTCCACAATGCTTGAAAGTCAACCTAATATGGTATGTTGTTGTGAGTGAGAGTTAACAATGCAACCACTAGTGGTTGCATTGTTTTTTTCTTCTTACCCTCTGTCGATAATATTAAAACAATAATAAATATGTTTCACCATTATCATTAAATTCACCATCGTCTGACTAATATGTGTCAGGTGTTATGAAAAGAGAATTTAACGTACCATCATCATAAACTGTGAGTTATAGATCTTTACTTTGAATTTTCCTTACTCTAACACCGATATATTTTACGATTGTGATCTAATATAATAACAAGGAATAATAAAACATTGTATTCTTACTACGACAACATTAAATGACGACACTATGGAATCCTTTCATACTCGTATATTTTATTACTGTTTATAGATTTATATCTAAATCATTTTAGTTAAATGATTTAGTTATAGAGCTAATTAACGAACTTTTAATATATATTTCATTTCATATACTAATATAAAAGTGAAAAAGTTGTTTGTGTATCTGTTTGTTACCGTTGCACAACTAAAGGGAAGGATTTAGTACTCATTTCCAAAAGGCTACTTTTTGGTGTAAAAAAGAAGATAGAAAAACGGTTGGAGGAAATAGTGACATCTACCAGGCTATCTTGTACCTCAAAAAAAAAGTATTTCTTCTTATCTTTTACTTGAGATCTCTTCAGAATGCTACAGATGCCTCTGCAAGTGCTGCGCTATATTGGTTGATGGTTGATTATTTGAAGCATTCCACAGTGGTATGTGAACTTATTCCAATTGCACACATCTAAAAATTATTCAATTTAATGTTGCCATCATCACATGTTTGTACGATATACGTCATTGCAACTTAAAATAAATCAGTTGGAGTGATCTTGACAAGATAAAGATGAATTAGATATAAATATAATATCACGAAAGTAAAAATATACTTTTGTGTAGCGGAGCGCACTGTTAGTCTCTACTCGTATATATTGCAAACAATTTAAGATACTATGTAGTTTTTTTCTGTCGGCTTAATACTAAACGTATTCCACTCTTTTCCTGGGTATATAAAAATATTATGCTTATTAATAAAGTATCAATATATAACATACGTATCAAATTCGAATCCATGTAGTAATTTTTGTGTGAAAGGATAACAAATATTTATCATATAACTCACAAGTCACTTGATTATTATTCTACTTTCCTAATGATTGGTAGAATCTAAAAATATGACTATTCAAAAGATATATAAGTTTATTTGAATGAAAGTTGTTTCCATCTTCAACTATTCATTTTTGTTGACTATACTAAATTAATATAAAATAAGACGTAATAAAATATAATTAGGAAGTCTTTCTTCAATTATATAGCATGAAAAAAATACAACATTGTAAAAAACACTGTTACGATGGTAATTGACCATTAACATTTATGGGCGTTATAACTAGACATTTTAATAAAAAGCAGCTTAATCGTACCTAATTTCCTATAATCTCTATTCTCGAAGCGCTATTATAAGAAAATTAGAGACTCGTGAACCATTTCACAAGTCTTTTTTTTTTATAATTTGGTACACAGGTGAATAAAAAATAGAATATAAAGTGATAGTTTGCAATTTTCGTTTATAGAAAACTATCACTTATAAAATGTATTCTTATTATAAATATTTATTTAAAGATTACTTTAATTAAATATTTAGCAATTACAAAGTGTACAATTATTTCAGAAATAGTACGTAATATTTAAAACTATTATATTATACTTTTGTAATTAACTAAAATAGGAGCCCTATTTTAATTAATTATAAAAGTATAAACATTGATTTTACACGGGAATTTATTTTACTTCTTTAATTTACACTAATAATGTCAATTGATAAAAATACTATAGAATTTTTAGCTTTGAAAAAATCTTTCGATCAATCATTTATTTTGTAATATATTATAACTAATGGACCGTAAAAAAGATTTTTTGTCCATAATTGGCCGAACTAACGGCCACATGTGTACCAATACAAACTCTATAAACATAATTTGCGATACAAAGTCATGCCTTCTATAGGGATTTAACAAACAACAACAATAGCTATCAATCATGACCTGTCTCAGAACATCTGAAGTTGGTCTATTGTGTCGTTTGTTGTAAATCTTCTTGGATACTGACACATCACTGCGAATATTTAAACACGGGCTTCAAAGTTTAGAATTTGTCTATTTTAACTAAATATCACATACTCGTACATCATGAGGAAAACTATTTCGTCTTAAAATCTATACCTAAAAGACTCAAAGTAATAATAATTTCAACTAATTAATGAAATACATTCATAATAATTTGATAAAATGAAGATTTCGAGGCCTTGGTGGTCTAGCGATTTAGCACACCGCCTTTGAAAATTACAACGGTCGGTACCGAGGTTCAAACCCCTAACGTTACCCTTAGGCTAAAATCGTATCCATTAGGCGATCACTGACCTTCAGCCGCTCCATAAATCCTTTTGCGAGTTTGGAGTGCCATCTGCACTCGCCCTCTATAGTCCGGTGAAGCTGAAGAAAAAAAGGTTATTAGTTACTAATAGGGTGGTTCAGCTTATACGCCATTTCATTTTTATAAATAAATGTTTTATATAGTAATAGTTATTCTATCTATACCTATCTATATATAACTATATAGATTATTTCTGTGCCAAATGTGACTAGTTAATAATTAATAGCAATCAGAATACTCACCTTTAATTCTTGTTTACTTTGTGCCGATATTGAAAATAACAAAAAACAACTCTGTAAGCATTAGATTATTACTATCGCAGATTTCTAATCTTTCCTTTAAGCAATAATTAACAAAATATATACCACTACCGTATAATAAATAATGCTTTATTCTGACCACAACACAGACTCGTTGACAAGGCAGAGTATCGCTCACCGAGAATGCTATTATCGTTCGCCAAGAATACAAAACAACAAACAGAACGACACCACTGTTTGTATAAAAGTAGTCATAAATTTATCAAGAATGCCAAGTATTTGTCGATTATCGCTTAACAGTTGGTCTTCAGAAATAACCATGCGAGCCAACTGAAATTTATTCTTGAAGAATGCTCCGCCCTTCAATGAGGTTTATGATTCAGTCTTGCGACATGTTTGTACAGGGCTTCTCCGCATGACTCTACCTGTACTATATTTAGTCTGTCGTATCTGAAATATTATCAAGGTAGATTTAGTACAAAGTACCTTCTATTTTATATACTAAACAGTTTCTCTTATAAGACATGTTATAGTCGAAGAGTGGGTTAAAGCATTGAAATCACAAGGTAATCGTACCTTACCACGCATGTCACACATTGATGCGATGTCCGTGATGCTATTCTTACTTCTTACTTACCATCAAGAGGGCCGTCAACTTGTTTACCATCCCAATTATGTACTAAAGAATCATAACAATATAAACTATGATTTGTGATATCAATCGCTCGATATAGTTGATACCTGAAGAGAAATATTAGGCATCAACGCAAATTGACAAAGTCGTTTCTATAGTCTATCGCGAATAAATGAAGTATAACTAGAATTACGAAATTTTTTATTTTAATTTTTGTATAACCTTGTTACCATCGATTATATTATACTGTGATCCTTGAAAATGTATATACAGATTAAGTGAAAAATGATTAACGTCTTATCGAACTTTGATTTCATTAACTTTGAGATAAGTTGCAACACATTATAAAAATTGGGGGCAACACGTCGACTGAAATATGTAGTGGATTATAAAAAAACAGTTTGTGACAGTTTCATAGGCCTATAATTTCGTGGTCTCCATAAAATACACATACAAGGTTATCATATAAAATCTTTGATTACATTTTTTAACTCTTTAGCTTTGTATTTAAGAGCTGTAATTCTTTGAAGATTCGTTATAATACATTAGTGAACTTTGGATGTTTAGCCAATTATTTGGGGCACAATTTCTTATTGTTATAGGAAGATCTATAAACAGATAAGTAAAATTTCCACCGCGTAATTTTTATAGTGTGACTGTACCCACTATGACCTGAACTATTTAAAATTTTAATAATTACGTCATCACTTAATTTAGATTTTACATTTCCAATTTTTTATTGTATTAGATAACATATTACTAAACATTTAAAATATTTCTTAAATTATGATCATATTTTAAAACAACACATAGGTAATTATTTATGACAGTTACACGATATTTATATTTATCTTCGCATATATCAAGTAATCTTTTTGCTAACGATCAGTTACCGCTCCATACTATTCTCTGATACTTATCTATAATTTGACAGCTGCCAATCTCCTCTCAATAATAGTATTTAGTAAGCATCGATCGCCCGCTAAGACGTCTGTTTTAAACTTTGTACAACTGATTGACAGACCGATCTATGTTTAATCAGGTGTCTCTTTAATTTAAAAATTACGGTGTAACTAATTATTCATTACTTTGATTGACAATTTACATAAATAAACATAACGTTATATATATATATATACATCTACAGAGTAACTTACTATTAATGGTCAATTGAAATAAACTAATTTAACCTTTATATTTTATTAGATATACCTTCTCCTCGTGGGGGAAGGTATATCATTACTGTAATTTTAGGGCTATATTGCTACTAGATATACTAAAAAAATATAGGAATATCATATTGCAAAGAGCGCGTTTAGTAACTAAATACATAATTATACCTTAACATACTGTGTAAATTAACAAACATACCTTCACATCTCTATCAAACGGATACATGCCTAGACAGATTGCCACTGGGTTAATAGAAACATTCCTAACAAATAACTGTAGCAGAACTTCACTAAGTTTGCCTATTCTTGAAATTGCCATGATTATTTACTTTAAGTATCCATAACGTATTATTTGAAGAAGTATATACATTCAGCAAGTGGAAGGATTATTAGACATAGCACGCAAACCCTTCGGCTATTTCTTTAATGTTTTCTTGATCGGTTACACGTGTTTATTATCTTAATATTATCCAAACGTAATTTCGCTCAGGAGGATTCTGTTTTTCCAATAGCTGAAGTGACAGTTTAATATCTAGATATCAGTTTTAATACTTGTATAATTATTTTTTTCTCTTCTAGCAAATTTAACTGCTAAGCTTGCTTTGTAAGTTGTGTATCGGTTGAAGAGACGAGGCAGTGAAATTAAAGGATATGTTGTCCTTCAGCAGGGTCCCGTAACATATACACCGGACATCATGTGTGATGTCTGTGGTGGTGTAGGTTAGCATTTACCATCATGCATATCGTCAGCATGTTTGCAGTTCTAGTTACATAGTGCTAGTATTGGTCATATACTTGTATATTGTCGTATTTTTTAAATAGGCCCGATAGCGATCAGGATTCAAGATGATTTATGAATACTGTGACAAATTAAGATAGTACGTCTTAGTTCATTTACCGTGTGCTTTATATGGTATAGATTACTGGACTGTATTATACATATATCCTTAGAAGGATGATTTGGAGGTTATACAGTGTTTTTATTGTCTAATAGAAGTTTATTGTTATTTCATTTATATAAACCAGTCTGCCGAAACTAGGTTGAAAATTCTTATACAATATTGTAGATTTCAACTAATATTTAAACAACTAAATGTGTGGCATATCTACAAGTTATGAAATGTTAAATATTTTTCATAGAAATATTCAAGGATTTCAAGAGGAATTATTTGCTACGTGTCACATAAGAACTCATATTAAATTAGATTAGATAAGTAAGTTTCTTCTTAGTTTTGACATAGTTATCGTATTTATTTAATTATAACGAATATCAAATGTGCTAATTTTCTTTTATCTAAAGATTAAAAATACATAACAAATATATAGAACAATACATAACAAATGTGTAGTATATTAGATGTTACCCGCGGCTTCGTGTGCTTTTCTCATGTATCAGATAGGAAATATTCGTACTAGTCATGCAATCTGTATTCACGATTCATAAAGCCGTTTACTCGAAATAGACCCTGTAAGTCATCTGTCGTAATACCTCTGTCTACCTGTTTCAGTCGTTAAGCAGCTTGCTTTATAATCTATGTTTTGGTTGAAGAGTGAGAGAACATTTAAAGTAAAGTGTCGCCATCAATCTTTCTCTGTATAACTGAAAATCATGTGGACTTCATATTTTCCATTTATATAAATAAATTTTATAATTTAAATAAAAAAGGCTGTAAAATTACAGCATAATAGGCATGCCTCATTTCATGTCGTAATATATCGTCCTCTGGAATAGCCAGGCATGATTGGTATCGCAAGTGTCACAGGATCATACGATGGCGCACTATGGACATAGTGCTGTTACCACTTACCATCAGATGGGTCGTCTTGCTTAGCTTGTTTATTCCAAATACACAAATAAACCATTCTGTCATGAAAAACTAAGAAACGGATAGACACTCTTTCGAATTTATAATATTAGTTATTGAATTTGAATTTAGTATTCATTCCATTCGTAATTTAAGAGGCAAGTCGCCCGTGCTCTTGCAATTTAAACAACCTTTCATCATCCTCTTTAAATGCTGATATCACATAACTCTAAATATTTAAAAGCCTTTAACTTGCTTGATGTTACCGTACCTAGTTTATTCCCTTCCCCTCTTTTCATTTATTTTTCATTAAAGAATAATAATTTTCATAAATTTATAGTGCCGTAGTAAGTATACTAACATTTTCGCTCCTTTTCCTTTCACCTTTTGAAATATTTTTTCACTTCTTACTTTATCTTTCCAGCTAATTATTATAATTATTAATAGTTGTAAAAATTAAATGAAGATATTTAGCAAAATTATCAAATTGCGAAAATGACTGCGACATCAATGTGATGATCCATCGTATATTGGCGCCGAGTGTTAGCGCATTGACCGAATATAATCATCTGAATCATGCCATGCGTACGCATGCGGTGTTACTTAACATTCCTATCGGATGTTATTCACATAATTACTGAAATAAATCATTATTGCTAACACTGAAACGTGTTATTAAAGATTAGCCTAGCGTAATGTGACGTGTGAGTCAAATTAACTACATATATTAAAGTAACTGTATATACATATATGTATTTTGAATTCAATGTAAATGATAAATTTCATTAAGTTCCCATTAGCTATTTAGTAGTGACAAGGTAAAAAACATACAGGCACATTTTAATATTTATAATATTAGATGTGGATGTTGTCTTCAAAAGTAAATACTTCCTTACTAATTCATACTCTTACTATGAAGGACCCATCCCCACTTCGTCGGTGTTCATAGTAATAATTTCTGTAAATGACTGTTTTTCCTTACAGTATAAAAATATCTATACAACAGAGTATACGGAACATACATTTATGAGAGGCAGAGATAAAATGATACTATTTTATTATAATAAAATGGATTATTGTGATGATTCACTTTTTAATAGAACTTATATATTCTCCAGTTTCGATTTCATATTAATTGACTTTATGTTTTTCTTTTATCTAATATAATCTTAAATTATTTACAATTAGATATTATAAATATTGAACATCATATTATTATTATTGTAATCTATATAAATCTTAACAATAACGTGAACCGCTTTTCAAATTAAATTTGATGGGATGTATATGTAAATATAGGTAGGCAACACCAATTACTAACTGGTTGATCTAAAAGAATTTGAACTTGACTGCGGAACTGCCTGCTATAAATCATGCATAATTAAGCAATTTAATCTCAACAGAATCATTGATAGAAAAATATGTTTTTAGTGAATCATTTAACATTTTGATTTTGAATTTGACCAAAGGACGGAACATTTCAAATTGTTCAACCTTTTCTAAGATTTGTGACCGTATTTTACTGTAAATGTTTACTGAATCATTGGAATTTTCAAAAC